AAACACAGGTTTTGGTTTGATCATTATGCCAGCTCAAATTATAACTCCAGCACTATCTTACATTGATTATGGTTCATGTTCAGTCTGCCAACCTCAGGACTTTGGTGTCATATCCTTTATCCTGGTTTCGTTGAACAAGACGCTGATGTCACTGTACCTTTACTGTGTTCTTACATACACAGAAGAAGAAAGTACAATAAATACTACATCTATTACATGCACCAGTGGGACTAGATGTAAAAGGGGAGTGTAGATATAACCAAAAATCAAAATTGCTTGGAATATGCCTTGTTGTTTACACACTGCTAACACCATCTGATCTCCATCAGAGCACTGACAATATATTTTGTTAACTTGCTGCTGGCGCAATGAGGACTTTGTCAAACTGAAAAAATGTCCCACCCTTTGAAGTAGGGCTGTAAGGTTTGCAGCTTTCCTCATGGGGCTATAATTTTGGCCATATTGAACAGGAGCTGCTGCCCAACATAGAAACAGATGCTAGTGAACCATTTAATTGTAGTAGTTCAACATATCTACAGAAAACTTTGTTAGTTCCTGCGTGTTGTTGTCCAAGCTTAATCTCCCAAATTAAGAATTTCACTGGTGCCATTAGAGTTCATTGCGTCCTTATAGGAGTTCCTCCTGCACGTACCCTTTGTCTCCTCAGGACTGCTTCAGTTTCTAAAAACAGCACTTTTCTGTCAAGCCTTGAAGTGGTCATGCATCACATCTGTCTTCACCACTCCTTTCTACTTTGATGTTCCAACAATACAGAACAGTCTCCCTCGTCGGGTGCCTGACCTGGATCTGATTGTATAACACTACTGTTCTGAATGTTCTTAGACAAAATTTCCTATACTTTTTTTTTTTAAATTAACCTGATCTTGAAAACTTTGTTTTTTTATTTAAAATGATATTAAACAGTGCAACCACTATATTAAATTTACCACAGGGCAAAAGTTTGCATTGGATGTTTGTTTTATAAAATGTGTTAGAATAGACACTTGTCACAGTGATGGATTGATAGTACACAGTGTTTAGTTTTATGTAGCCAGAGCAGTTTGCACAAGTTGCACAAGTATAGCAAATATTAGATACTCCGAAGACAAGGTTTTGTTTTAAGAAGACATTGTTGTGTGTTCTTAGCAAAATCAACAAAATCTTATAAAACATTTCAGGATGCACTCGTCTGTAACAGAAGCTGAATTTTTAATATCCTTGGTGTGTCAGTAGAATCAGATAGTTACAACAGAGGTACATTGATGATGCCTCCATTAGCGTCCACTACCAGCTGTTATGCTTATCTGCTTCTGTCCCCACTCCCACTAGCACAAGACCTACCCAAGCATGTTTCAGAGTAATAAAGTGCAGTCAGTGTAAATGCATGTCTTTATTCTCTGTAACAGAGAAAGGCTTGTTCACTGCACAGTGCACTTAGAGCTTTACCCTGCAGGAGAACCATAATAAACATTAAACCAGAGCAGGAATACATATCCTTAAAGCCTCATCTAAGAATGCTTTGTTCCAGTTCCTTATAAATGTCATATGAACAGCAGTCAGAAATGGATAGCTTTAGAACTGGCTGCTTAGGATGAACATGTGATGTGCAAAGAAAAATGGAGATAAAGGTCCCTAAAGTCAGCCTATTATTATGTGTTCTGCCATGTATGCTTTTGTCTGTCATATAATTACTGTTCCACTGCTGTTTGATCATATTAATGCTGGTCTAAATTATAAGGCTTCAGATTGCTTTAAATGCTTTGCTTCTATGTTTGAATCTTTATTCATCTGAATTCTATTCAGTTTTATTCATATAGTGCAAAATCACAACAGGAGCCGCTTCAAAGTACTTTATATTGTAAAGTAAAAACCGTATAATAATACAAAGCATATGGATCACATTTGTATGACGAATCCCTAATATGGTCATCTCAAACACATACTGTAGCTCTGGCTGAGAGAACAAAAGACCCACCCACATACTCTTTAAGCCTTTGTGAGGGGCTGCTAATTAAAAGACAGTTGGGTTAAGATATGAAATGTTAAAATGGCTTGTTTCAGACTGAGGAACTCAACCAAAACCCAAGATAAGATAAATAACAATTGCTTTGAACTGCAGATCACACAAAGCTCCTATAGAGACCATAAAATATGGACTTATAAGTCTATTTCATAGCAAAGATGTTCAGTAGAGTTGCATATTCTATTTTGGCCCGAACTGATTAATTCTTGGCTCTTTTTGATTCATCACAAGACATATTATCTTAATGCTAAATACAATAAAATGTTACACAAAGGGACAATTTTACATCACTGGTAAATATACACTTGGCTGGTACATTTTAGCTACTGGAAACCTTTGTTGGCGAAAAGTCACTTGATGCGTAATTTGTGAGAAAAGTTCTACTTTTTCTACTCAAGATCCACTTTTCTTTTCTTGAGTTGTTGTTAAAAAATCATTCAAGTTCTCTTTGAGTTTGCATATTTTATGTGAAACGTTTTTAGGTTCACATCAGCAATAATACTGGTGTACTAACAGAAATGTATGGGAAAATAGCTCAGTAGCCTAAGGTCCATGTTTGAGCATTCAGCCAGCACCAGTTTAGGGCAGTCAGCTTAAACAGTAAACTGCTTTGATTCAGTTTTTATTGTAAATTGAATTTGGAGTACAGCAGCAATGCCCCTTTCCACTTACACGTCCTAACAAGTCCAACAGGTAGAGAAGATTGTCAAAGATACGGAAAATCAAATAACAAAAATCAAACAAAACAGTGTCAAATTATATTATAACACCTTCCTGCCCCCATTTTGTCTGTTTTTTCCTAAATGAATGCAGACAGATACTTTCTTATTAGTCTCTGAACCCCTGACTGATTCTGCTGACCTTTGAAATGGCCAATAATGTTTATGCTACCTGCAATCAATTTTCTCTATAAAACAATGTCTTTAGATTTTTCAACTTTAAAACATATCAGAGGATTTTTGTGCTTCAAGTTCAGAGGTATATACTGATGTTTTATGAAAAAATGTGTGCGTATATTGATACGTGCTTACCTCTCTTCTGTAGGTAAGGTCACAAAGTGTCCAGCCTAGGGACTGTACTTTTTATATTAATGAGTGAAATCTGTTGTTGGCCTCAACGCCTTTCTGTGGTATCTGTTTTGTTTACTTTTTACTTCCTTATTATGCATACCTGTATCTGCAGTTAAACTCAGAAAGCAACTTGTCTGGATGAATGTCATGGATCGCTGTGTGGCAGGTAGGATGAGGACCCAATCGCAAAACTCACAGACTCAGGGGATGAACTCAAAAAGCAGCTTTATTGCTGACAAAGGATGACAGGAAATACAAAACTAAACTGGGAAAAACTAACAAAGCTCACCAAGGAACACAGGGGAATCACACACAGCATGAGGGAGAACACGACACAGAACTGAGGGAGACGCAGACATAAATACACAGAGGGTTAACGAGGGAAGTGGGAGCACACGGGGAACACAGGTGACACTGATAATCATAACAAGACATGGCAGGAGTGAACACCACACTGGCGGGAGACGGACAAAGTAAAACAGGAAGTACAGAGGTTCAGACAGGAGGAGAGAGAGCACGGGGAAAACACAGACATAACGGGCTGGGGAAAACATAGAATAAACACAAAGAGAGACAAGGGCTCATGACTACACAGAGGGGCACACAGGGGGTAAGAGTCACGAAGGGAAAACACTTAGGGAACAACACACCAGGGCAACTCAGGAAACATGGCCTAAATAAGGAACAAAATACAAAAATACATGAAAACTAAGAATACTGGGCCAACATGGCCCAGGACCATGACAATGAAATGGTTGAACGTGGCTCACAGTGTGTTTGAAGATGAAAATTCTTTCAGTAAGATGACAGATTCAGGACTGGAGTGATAATATCTACCTGTAGAAATGTCTGCTTTCCCTATTTCTCATTGGTACAAATACCCATTAAATTGTTCTGCGACTTACATTGGAGACTCCTGAAGTATTCATAATGCATCATGAAAACCTGGTTAATCAGACTCTGCATGGCATAGATGTATTTTCCTTGTATTGTTTCTAGTTGCCTGCTTCCATTCCACATCACCAAAGAATTACAAATGGAGCTAGGTGCCTGTCTATTCAGAGGATTACTGAGAAGCTTCAGGTGCTCAAGAGTGGTAAAGAACTGCTTGCTAGCCAAGCCTGTCAGGTCTCACCATTGTAATTCTCTAATTGCAGAGCGCTTACGTGAGTTAGCCCTTGCTATTGTCAAACTCATGTCACAGTTGGTAGTTGCAACGGCTACCAGACGTTGCAACTACGCTACCAGACATCCAAATCGTACTGTGGTTTTCTGCAGTGCTCCATGAAATAACTACTTCATAGCTTTATAACTTTATAACTTTATACTCTAATGTGATTTTGTGTGCTAAGCTGCTAAGCTAAGGTTAAGCTTTTGATCAGTCAAACTAAAGGCTTGCCTTTTTTATTCAATTTATACGGAAGTCTGTATTAGCTCCTCATCTTGCAATTCATGACATGACTGGAAATCTTTATTCCGGAGTTATCTGCTAGAATAGAATAGTCATTTTTGGCTGTTTTGTTTTTAGGGTCCATTTTAATAAATGTTAATTAATTTGATATAAAATTAATTTTACGTAAGTAAAATTGTGCTAGCAATGCTACAACTGAGCTGCACGGCTACCAGACATCCAAATCTTACTGTGGTTTTCTGCAGTGCTCCATGAAATAGCTACTTCATAGCTTTATAACTTTATACTCTAACGTGATTTTGTGTGCTGCACTCTAGCCTGTTTTCTTTGATCTCCAATTAAATGATCAACTGGTCTTATGTGTGGCCTTTTTGATTTTATATTGTAGTATAATATACTTTTATATCATATGCAGCTGATATATGATATATGATATCTGTAATGTCTTTTCAAAATAGATCCATGGATAATTTACCGTTTTTTTGCCTCCTTTCAGATGAGATCATGCAGCAGGACATCAGGCCCCTGCTGGCCGTAGACATCATAGAGCAGCTTCACCGCCAGTTTGCCTCGCTATCTGGTAAGTAACCTGCAATGTTCTATTTGCCCTCATTCCATACCTGAAGTTCATGTTAGGTGGAGGTATTGAAACAAAACTCTGGGTGGGACAACAAATGAGCCGTTAAAAGGAGACAAATAAGGAAAAACAGGAGACACAACAAAAGTAGCAAACACAGGACAGAGTATCTGTTAACTCATGAATACTGCTATAGTACCATAACAGAAACATTAATAATCACACCATTATCATTACTAGCTACATTAAATCCACAGTTCCGTAAATTTAAGAGAAAAATATTGCACATATTTAGTCTTTTATGGCCATTATGTAACATGGAGCACTAATTAAAGCCTTTTTCATTTTTTACCCCTGACATCCTGTTACAGTACCACTTCTCCCTGTGCCTTCATGCTTACTGTAACTAAAGCTTCGAACCCAAATTGATTTTAATGATTTTGATATTTCAAAAAACCCCAAAAACATTCTCAGCAGTTTTTTAGCTGATGTTCTATTTTTGTGTTTTGTATCACAAGTTATGCAAGTGCCAGAAGAAAGGACTTCATGTGTAACTCAGCTGCTTCACTCTCTCATGACTTTTTATTCTTCACCGAGGAAATCACAAGCAAACGGATAATATGAGGAAACCACTGAAATCCCTTCAGCTGACTTGCTCACTGATTCTATTTGTTGATTTTTTAAAAAAAGAGGAAATCTGCTGGAGTGATATGTAATCATGATTCATTTAATTCCACAAAACACAGCAGTTCACTGGAGGTTTATACACACACAGATCTTCCTGTCCACATGTTTTGGGTTTTCTTTTAATTCCCCCTGGGGATTTGGGGCTTTTGAAAGTTCATTTGGCATTTTCAAGTTTGCTATGGCACTGAAACCTTATTCTCTTATTTAACAGTATTATTATATTCTGTCCTGGCATCTAGGTGCAAGTATCTGCTTTCTTGCAAACACACAAAATGGAGCTTGGTCAAAGATAGTGGATGCTATGATCTCGGGGTTTTTTTATGTTGTGCTTAAGTTGGCATTTGAATTCCTTATTTAAGATGTTCTCTGTTTGTTTTTAGGCATCCTGAGCTTTAAATAGAGTTAATTTTGCCTATATTTTCCATTTCACTGTTTTGTTATTGTTGTTACTTCCTGTTTTTTTTATGGTAGTTATTTGTCTCCAGCTTTACTGCCCCACTACCTGTCTTGTTGTCCTTGATTACTTTGACCTGCATCTCCTGACTCTTCTGTATCCAGCTCCCTGATTTCCCTTTTGTCCTGACTTCGCAGCACTCTTTTCTCTACCAGCTGACCTACCAGTCTCTTCCTGCCTGTTGCCTGTCTATTTTGTGGTTAAGCTTTTGATCAGTCAAACTAAAGGCTTGCCTTTTTTTATTCAATTTACACGGAAGTCTGTATTTAGCTCCTCATCTTGCAATTTATGACATGACTGGAAATCTTTATTCCGGAGTTATCTGCTAGAATAGAATAGTCATTTTTGTCTGTTTTGTTTTTAGGGTCCATTTTAATAAATATTAATTAATTTGATATAAAATTAATTTTACGTAAGTAAAATTGTGCTAGCAATGCTACAACTGAGCTGCACATAACATGTTGTGTAATACTGATTTATTAATTCAAGATTTCATCCAACACACATCTTCCAGGGAACTGCTTCCTCCAGTTCTTTATAGGCTTCAGATAATAACATCTCAGGGAAATTGGCTGCAATAAAGATAAAGTCATAGCACAAAGAATTGTGTAAAAACACGAGCCAATAAAAAACCAAGAATGAGTAGACCACCAGACACTTTCAAATTCTAAAATGTAATATACACATTAATGTTGTATCACCTTTTAAACTGAGAGCTCCATACGTGACAGAAGAAACATGAGAAAACATAAGCATTTTGTTTGCTTTTTGATTTCTTAAAAAAATATTTGAACATATTTTACAGCAACTTAAAGTTCAATTTGAAGCCTTAAAAACATTTAAGTGCTATATGTTTCTTTGTTTCTTTGTGTTATTGAAAAGCTTTTCATTTGAGGAAGTGTGGATTTGAACTTTGTTGCTGAGACTATTGATGAGGAGAACATTAGTGGATGAGCAACTCTTAAAATGAGTTACACTAAAAGTAATATGCCATACCTTTAAAATATTGAATTCAATTCTTTTTTTCTTTGTTTTTTTTAGTCTAATTGGCACAAACACCTAGTTGTGCAGTCTGCTGTTACAAACTCTTATGAAATAATTAACAAGAGTTGTTCTAAAGAGCTCACCAAAAGCTTTTAGAAGTCATAATAACTCACCCATGAAGTGGTGGACCATATTAATCTACAGAGAAGTGTTACAGAGATACATAGTGTGAAAAAGTCACAGACATCCTAAATTCAGTAAATGCAAAGATTCAAACCTCCTCTGGTATTAGCATCAGCACAAAAACTGCCACCAGAAGCTTCTTGGCATAGGTTTGCATGGCCAATCAGCTTCTGTAGGTGTAATGCGTAGGTGGTTCACTACATGTATTTGCACATCATAGCTCACAATGATAAGCCAATGCGACCAGTTATTAACTAGCATGGAGCTGGTGGAGCATTGCTTTTAGCATCCCAGCATTCACACTTGGTGCCCTCAGACTTTTCCAGATGTGCTGTTAGTGGTGACACAGCAGTCTGTGTGGTTCTCCAGGGATGCCTCTCATTCCTTCTCTCAGTCGTCTCACCAAACAGCCAAAATAACTGTTTCCAAAAGTTCCTCTCTCAGCATTACTTGCCTCTAGAATTACATAAGGGTAACACAAGTCTGGTTCATAGTCCTCACCACATGTGTGTGCCTACTGTGAGTGTGTGTGCCTTCTCAGTAGGATCCAGGTTTAAACGCTATGATCATTTGGTTTGCTATTTTTGTCTCTCTGTATACACATTTTATATATACATGAACTGGAACCAGTGAGGGTTTCCTTTTGCCAGAGACCAGTTAGGAAGTATACCAAACAATTTCATGCCTCTTTTCTTAGAGTTTTTATGATTTTGTTTTCCCTCATGGACAGCTGCAGGATTTGTTGCTTTCTTTTGATTCTCCTTAAAAAGTAAAGGGGAAACACATCACTGAGTGGTCAGTGTAAAACCCGTCACTTTTTCTGGGTTAGATGACCTTTGCACTACTAGCAGCAGACAAGGAGTTGCAAGCAGGAAATTGGAAACATGCTCATTTCACATACTTTTACGGCAGTAACTTTATTAGGGAGAATTAACAGAGTCTTTTATGTTCTTAGAGAGGAAAATGTATATTTTTGTGGAGTGTAAAAGGTTTTCAAAATAGTGTTTCCTTCTTTCTACAAGTTTCAGAAAGTTGATATGACTATATCTGGCAGACATAAAGCATTATTTGAGTCATTTTAATTTAATTTACACTACTGGAGCTCTGTTTTGGTTGGTTCTCCTTAGTGGGAAATATGGGTTCTATAACATCTCATAATGTTTTGGGATTTAACTAATAACACTGCAGCACTTACCTGCCTTGCCTAACAGATGTTTTTTAAATGCCAGTATCACAGATGTCAGACCATGACTCCCACTTTCTTCCCCTCCTGCAACGTGTTGAGTATAAACTTTCCATTCTCAGCAAGTTAGTTACATGTTTGTGGTTGAGAGATGCTGGTCAGACAAAATTCTAAACCAACAAAAATATCCTCAGATGTGCTGATTCAAGGTTATGCACAGCCCTTTAATGTCTGTATGAATGTCTGTAACTTTTAGCATTACAAACACTGTTCGTTTTTTTCTCAAGTAGCATGCCGTAGCAATGTTTTATTTGTCAAGCCAGCAGATTTATGGCTCATGCTCACCATCTAGTGACATTTCGAGAGATGTGCAAGTATTGGATTTTTCCAATCTGTATCTGCAACTAGAAGTGTCAAGACTACTGGTTGCACACTGGCTCCTTGTAGGGCCCTTTTATAGATCTGCAAAGGTAAAGCATACTGATGATCAAATATAGTAAGCCACAAAAGCCTTGATTACGAGACAGAATTAACAATGAGAACACACAAGTTTGAAAATAGTATACGACTAGTATTTTTAGACTTGTGTTTTGCTTAGCATTTACATTAGCCAGTTTAAGTTTATGAAATAATCATGGTTTGAGTTCAATAATTTCTTTTAAATCTTGAAACATTATTTAGATTATGGTTTAATGGTGTTTATTTCAGGTACATCTACAAAGTGTTGCAGACATTGAACAATGACACTAGAGGGTTATCCGCTGTAGTGAAATGTGACATGAAGAACATTAATTCATAGTTATATAGTGCTTTCTAGTCTTACTGACTACTCAAAGCACTTTTTTCACAATACAAGCCACATTCAAATCTCAAGAAGACTGAAGCACACAGCCTCATCCACAGCAAGGACCAGTAATTCATGAGTCAAGTATAAGACTACCCTGAGGTCTTATACTTGACTCATTGAACAGTTTGGTCTTCTTACAGTTGGCAATGAAGACAAAAAGAGTGAAAACAGTAAAACCAAATCTGTGAGAAGTGTAAATAAAATGTTATGGTTGGACATATACTAAGAACACAATGTAGTTTAACTTTAATTGAGAGCCTAAAGGAACAAACATAGTACTGAGGTGTTAGAGTTGGGGTGTTCCTCTACCATTTTACATTTAGTAGAACCACATTCCCAAAAGTCATTGCCCATTCCCCATGTCGCTAATTTCATCTGGGTGCCTGTAATACGATTCCTACTGGGAAAACAAAACAATTTCATATATTCTGATTTAAATGGTGTCTTAACTTTCATTTCAGATATCTTAAATGAAACACAATTTCATACAGCTGTGATGGAGGTTTTACAGATGTCCGCATTTCAACTTAAAGGGAATCCTTTAAGTTATCAAATGATAAAATGTCTTGCAATACAGTTACTGCAGTTATTGATTTGGGTTTATTTTTTCTGTGCTATAGGAGGGCGAGGGAAAGATGGTGCCCCCATCATCACTTTCCCAGAGTGCTCAGGCTTTAGCGAAGTGCCAGAGGAAGATTTCCTCAATGTAGTTACTTACCTGACCAGCATCCCCAGGTATGTATACTCACACACAATTAAAACTAATAACGAGAAAGATCATAAAGATAAAATTCCATTTGATTCAAAACTATCCCCACAGGATCACATTTGATCCTGGGTGCTTAAACGTCTTCACTGCTTCATCTCAACAGTAATATCATAAGGCTTTCTGGAAATTATGCTTAGTGGTGTACTAATTGTGTATTCCTTGAAATGTGGACAATTCTTGAGTTCTGTATTTTCCGGAGCCTGAAACCTTTGGGAATTTGATTAGCATGGCCTATAACTTTAAATTGTTTTCCTCCTCTCTCCAGCCTGGATGCTGCAAGCATTGGCTTCATTATCATCATCGACCGGCGGAAGGACAAATGGAGCTCAGTAAAGGCCTCTCTATCCAGGATCGCTGTAAGTTCAGTGAGATACTTAAATCACCATAGAAATATATACAAGGACCTTTTTAAAATGTTTCTTTTAAGTCTTTGTGTTTCCTACACCGGCGTAACAACCCTGTGAAAGCCTCATTTTCTTTTGGGCCCTTACCGTCACATTGTACCAGAGCAATGGATGGATCACAAACACATTCATTGTAGAATTCCTCATTTAACAATCAATTTCAATGCAATGGCTTGTAGTACACACCTATATCACAGCAAGAGTGCCTCTAGAACAAATCTCTTCACTCCTTCCTATTTTAAACACCATTTTTACTATCAGGCTCAGTGAGCTTGAACTAAAATGGGCAGATCTTTCATAACATGCTTCTGTAACAAACTAATTATGACCTGCAATAGTTTTATACCAGAAGAATATATTTTAGCTTGTTACAAGCAACTTACAGATAACCATGAGAATGAAAAGATGCAATATCTTATTTTAAGTTCATTTGTTATATTTTCCAGGGGGCATTCCCAGGAAATCTTCAGTTAGTGTTGGTGCTGAGGCCATCCAGGTTCTTCCAGAAGCATATAGCAGATATTGGGATCAAACTACACAAGGATGACTTCAAAATGAAGGTACCGGTAAGCATGCAGGTGTTTTATTCTGAGCCAGGGTATGGTTCTGAAACAGACACCTAAAAGAGAGACAAAAAGTATTCCCCATGATAATAGTTAGCTTTTTTGATATACTGAAAGAGAAAACATGTCATCCAAACACACAGAGATGCTATGCTTTAACACAACGAGGGATTTTTTTTCCATAGAACAATTCCTTAAATTGCATAAGGTGTGATTTTTTTTTTATCACAGCACAATTAAACCTAACATTTCAATAGCAAAGTATGAAAAGCATCAAGCATGCACCACCCACCCATCCATCCATCCATCCAACCATAACTCCATCCATCTATCAGGAAAACTACACTTTCCTCTCCCTGGCCACTTTCTCCAGTGTTTCCTGGAGGACTCCAAGCTTGTTGAGAGATGTTATGTCTCTTTTGTAGGTGTTAAACATAACTATAGCTTTTTATCCTTTGATGGGCATGTCAGTGGTATCAAAACGATATAAAAATACTGACAAAGACAGACACAGTGGATCAGTTGTCAGAGTTGTGTAACATAACCAGGTCTTCCTCAATCCACTGTTTTGTTAAGATAAACACTGTGTCACATTTTTGAAGGACTGAGCAACAGTGAGCAAAGAGGTTTGGTGGGAAAGAAAGACTGGCTGCTTTGACAGGAAAATCACACAACAGGAAAATTGCATTTATTTTTTGTGAAGGAAATCATTTCATCATAGATCTTAGGTTTTAGCTAAACAAGATAAATAAATTATTCATGAATACATATTTTGATACTTATTTTCAAGTCAGCACCTACAAATGCATCTCGTTTTTTAAAATTGTGTATGCAAATGTAGTAATAAAAACAGTAACCCCTTACTTATATGGTGCCTTTCAAAGCAAAGTTTTGAAAGGTACAAAGTGTATGTCTTGTAAACCAAAATGTTTGATTTCCTATTTAGTAACTTACCAGGCAACGCTTCCCATCTTGCAACAACATTGACTATGAGAAGTTGTTCTACCAATTTTACTTAATAATAATGGAGCACGTAAAGCAATGCACTGTGTTTGCAGATCGTGATGCTGAACTCGCTGTCTGACCTACATGGCTATGTGGATAAAAGCCAGCTGACCCGAGAGTTAGGAGGAAACCTGGAATACTGTCACAGTCAGTGGATACACCACCGAACAGTGAGCACTGACTTACTGTAGCATTCAATACCAGATTTGACATTATAGCAGGTGTATGGTGAGCTAGATTAGAAGACATTGCAGAGTAACATGTGAGTCTGTTTCCATAGGCCATAGAAAATTTTGCCATGACAGTGAAAACCACAGCCCAGATGTTACAGAAGTTCGGGACAGACCTAGCAGAGACAGAGCTGCCCAATGACGTCCAGTGCACCAAAGACCTCCTTACAGCACACACCGACAAACACAATAACCTCAAGGTAATGTGGTGCATTAAATATGCTAGGACACACACACACATATTAACATGAGACAAAGCAAGTATTTTTACACTAGTATATCTGGTTAGCACTGGTGCCTCACAGCAAGAAAGTCTTGAGTTCAATTCCACCATCACGCCATGGTCTTTCTGTGTGGAGTTTGCATGTTCTCCCGGGTCCTCCGGCTTCCTCCCACAGTCCAAAGACATGCAGTTAGTGGGGTTAGGTTAATTGGAAACACTAAATTGCCCATAAGTGTGAATGCAGGAGTAAATGTGAGTGCAATTTGCTGTTAGCCCTGCAACAGACTGGCGACCTTTCTAGGCTGTACTCTGCCTCTCGCTCTAAGACAGCTGGGATAGGCTCCAGCCTTGGAATATTCTACGTGACTGACTTTACCTACTTCAAATATCAGTTTTAAATGCAAAAGTGTAGATGTCTTTAATTCCTCTACTACATGTACTTGGATATTTCTGCTGAAATAGGAACTTGCACAGATTTGCAAAAGTTTCTCTATGATATTAATGTTCTGTGATATTAATGCTTCTGTTTCTGTGAATCAGGATGAACTGAGGCTAGCTGTGAAGCAAGGCACCACCTTGTATAGTTGTATAAAAGATCAGTCAGCCAAGTCAGAGGATCATGAACTCAACCCTGATGAGATGGAAAACCAAACTACTGTGGAAAGGTAACAAACGACAAAGACTCCTTTATAGATGTCATGCACACTGTATATTGTTATGTATTTTGAGCAATTATGTACCAATTCTCATTACATTTGTAATCTGTGTTTTAGGCTTTTGGCCCAGCTAGATGAGACAGAAAATGCCTTTGAACAGTTCTGGAGCAAACACCATCTCAAACTGGAGCAGTGCCTACAGTTGCGTCACTTTGAGCAGGACTTCAGAGAGGTAAAGTATGCCATTGCCATGCAGCCTTTGGTTTTTCATGTGAGGTACTGCAAGTAGACCAGTGGAAAGGGCAATGTTTCGCATCTTCACATATTACAATGAGTGTATGTCCTCTACATTTCTAAAAATGTTTTTTTAATATCACATTTTTATGAAACAACTTGATCTTGGGATAATTTAATGCAGAGAGAACAGGGATGAGTGAATCTTTCATTTTTACAAATAATGTTTTGCAGAGGTGGCCCCTTGCTGTGTGTTTTCCCTCCGCTCTCTCCCCACCGATGCGTACACTGTCCGGTCTTGTGGTGTTTGTTGTGTCGAATCTAGCATAGAATACGTTTAGATCCTCACACAGAGGCTGTGGTGTGCTGATTTTCCCCTCTTTAGTCTGTGAATGTGTTTAGTCCCTGGCACATTCTCCCACGATTGTGAAATTGCTGTTCCACTTTGTCCCTGTACTCCCGTTTGGCTGCTTTAATGAGTTGGTAATTTGCGTGTTTGTAGTCCAATGTGTTCGCGGAGGCAAAAGCAGTGTTCCCTGCCGCCAGTGCAGTGCAAACATCACTCTTAATCCACGGTTTTTGATTTGGGTAGACTTTTAACTGTTCTGGGTGGGACGACATCTTCCACGCATTTTCTGATAAATCTGTAGACTGAGTTTGTGTCCTCATTGATGTCGTCAGCAGCCATGTGAAACATTCCCCAGTCCGCGTTATCAAAACAGTCCCACAACATGGACTTTGATTGGTCCGACCAACGGTATAAACGCCGCCTCTGGGTGTGCGGTTTCCTTACTGCTAATCGCGCTGTACAGTTCTCTGCATGTTCGATCAGTGTCGGCTTGTGGGGGGATGTAAACAGCCATAATAATGACTGCTGTAAATGCTCTCTGTAGCCAGAATGGCCAGCACTTAATCATCAGGTACTCCAGGTCCAGTGAGCAGAAGGAGTTAACCGGGTGAACGTTGGGGCAGTCACATCAGCTGTTGTTGATGCACACACCACCGCCTCTGCCTTTCTCAGTTTGCTCCTGTGACCAATGCGCTGCCCGGAACCCCCATAGTTGTATGGCGGAGTCCGATAGCCAGGTTTCTGTGAGGAAGATCACGCAGCAATCCCGCATCTCTCACTGGAATGAGATCCGTGTCCGAAATTCGCACAGCTTGGTCTCCAGAAACTGCACAATAGCCTGTAATAAACTGGAGAGCGGTGGTCTGTTAGTGGGCCATCTCAGTCGAACCAGAACGTTGGATCTTCTGCGTCGGTGTTTGCGGCCTCCTCCACGGGGCCAGAACAAAGGTGTCTCAGGCAAGATGAATGGGGGGTTGCAAACTTGAACTCAGGTAAATGATAAGAAAATTCAGCTCTCAGGCCCCCTCCTTGATTCAGAGATGGTCTTTCCCTTTTCACGTAAATGGCCTCCTTGACTCCACGCTCAAACCAGCGTTCCTCCCTGTCCAGGATGTGTACATCCTCATCCTTGAAACAGCGTCCACTGGCCTGTAGGTGTAAATAGACTGCAGAGTCCTGGCCTGACAAGGCAGCTCTTCTGTGTTGTGCTAAAGGGTACATCTTTCGCCATCTTACAATGCTGTGATTGCAGCCATTACCCAACTCTCTGTGAATGGTACTCATGGCCATTGATCAGTGGGTTTTGGTCAGTGGGTTTTGGTCAGTGGTTGTTGATCAATGGTCATGAGAATTTGCATAATTAAGATTAAGGAACTGACCTCCCAGCTCATTGTTCCTTCAGGTTCAGTCATTATGCAAATGTACTGTTTATAAGATTGGGGAAACCTGCAGTCAGCTGAGACTGAAGACGTCACTTAGATGAGTGACGAAACGTTTCTCCCACAAAACGCTACGTCCATTTAGTTCCTTTTATTCGGTAACTAGCCAGAAAGTAAAAAGCAAGAATGCAGTGAATGAGTGAGCAGAGATGAAAAACTATGGGGACAACAGGGCAGATACCAGTTTCTTTGCTCACAGCTTACATCACTGGCACGTCTCCAACCTCCTAATAAAATAGAACTGTTATTCTCAGCAGTCATCACAGCTTCTTCTGGTGTAAAGCCAAAGACACCTTTTGCATAATGATAAAATCCAAGTGCCTTCAGAGGGCTATGCATATACATTCATAATACAGAGACAGGCATCACTTACTGCTATCAGTCAACATGATTAAACTAAAGGCCTTCTATTTTTATGTTTTAGATTAATTAAACACACGAAAACAGCAACAATAAAGGGAAATATTAACACCATGTGCCCCAAAACCTTAATCCCCCCCCCCCCCCCCCCCCAAAAAAAAAAGTAAGAGTAACCCGACATACAAAAATGGAATAAAATGAAATTACAGTTGCTACAGTGTCAACAATAGCAAGTACTGTTGCCACCTTCTCCAAGCAAAGCACAGCTCTGATGCAGTTTCCACACTGATTAATATATAATACAGGCAGCCATGGTTTAGAGGAAAATACAGTCAGGGCAGAAAGAAAGGACCACACTGCCCCCTGCTGATGAATACTGAGATCACAGCCCTACTGCAGAATTCTTACAGAGCTACCAAGATACTGATACTGTTTAATGTTTAAGCTGTGTTTTTACATTAAAAAAAAGTTTTACACAAACTAAAGCAACAAATGTAATTCGTCGTTTGGTTTGTTTAACACGAGCAGAATAGATAACGAAGTAACTCAATGGTTCTCACTGCTTTTTCTCTGTTTCTCTCCAATCATTGGTGATCAGGTCAAAGTGTCTCTCGACAGCTTGATAGACAGTCTAAACAGCCTTTCAGACACTGGGGATTGTGTGGCCAGAGTTGAAAAAATGCTCAAGGAGCTAAAAACACTGGAGGAGAAAGCTCAGGTTTGTAATGGCACAGTTACACACACAATAGCACATAATCATTTAATAATATCGAATCATTACAAGTAATTTGGTTTCTTGTTAAAGCAATCATCATGAATCACTTTAGTAGCGTTGTAGAGTTACACAGTTGAGTGTGGATACCCTGAAGCTTTTGTTTGCACAGCTTAATGTATCATATTTAATTGATTTTCTTCCAGGCCACACTGGAAAAGGCACAACTTCACGCACTGCATGGTGACCAGCTGATTCAGAGCAATCACTATGCTGTGGACTCCATCAGACCCAAATGTGTCGAGCTCCGTCGTGTCTGTGACGACTTCAGCAATGAGGTCAAGAAAAAGACAGATATTTTGTCCAAATCTCTGCAGATACACCAGGGCATAGATAAGGTAAGGATACCATGTGAGTCGTGTACATTTACAGATGGCTACAAATCCAAAAGTTTGACTTAAGCCAGATGAAATGTGATGAATCTGTTCTTTGGTTGTTGTTTTTTTAATCTTTTCATTAGATAATTCTGGACCAAAATGTCCAGACAGTGGGACATGTTGTAAAATCACACTGACATATTTACATCTTAGAATGTCACGGCCTCTATTTGCATCCAGCAGATGGCGCAAGCATTGAGTTAAAGTTGTTTAATCTTGAGTCTCTGGCACCTAAATATAATGTAAATATTATTTTTTACTCAATGTTCTTAGTGAAATGTGCTGCTGAGCACAGCTTTAATTCCAAATTTGGTTCAACTGTTTCGATATTTTAAAATGAGTTGAAAACTGCTTGGACTACTATTTGATTAGATAAATCTACAATTACATAATATGTGTTCTACATTACACCTGTGACTCGACTGGTGTAATGTGACTCTTCCAAAAAAAGAGCTGATGGTTGTTTTTCTGTTTGAGTAAGGTGTGGACGGATCATTGTTTTGACTGGGCCATCTGTCCACACTGCAGCTGTAGACATATTCAAATAAACCGTCATTAACACGCTCATCACCGTGGCTTCAGTTCTCCCGGTTGCCACAAGACCAACTATTGCAGTCATTGTGTTTAAATATGAAAATCTAAATCTATTCTAATCTTATCGTACAAGAGCACTCACCATCAGTTTGACCAAATAATATTTTTAAAGATAAAGATATTAAAGATATTAGAAGACTGACAACTTGACATAACTCAACAATCGAGGATTTTATTACCTGCATAACAAGTTTCTACAGACCCAACTGGGATTTTACTTGCAGTATTTTCCTCCTACTACCCAAATACAGGACTCTTACACTGTGACACCATATGTGAAGGGATGATTATGTTTTCTAAAACTGAATTCTTGGCTATTTGCTGATGTCATTAGATGTTGTGTGCAGGTTAACCAATGGTGTGAGTCTGGGATCTACTTGCTGGCATCCCAGGCTGTGGATAAGTGTCAGTCACAGGAAGGGGCAGAGTCAGCACTGACAGACATCGAACATTTTCTGGAGTCAGCAGAAAAGAACCAACTGACTGAACTGAGGAACCTGCACAATCAGTATGAGGTTGTCTTGTCAGAGGATATCAAGGTACAGTCCACAAACATAATACTTTGAAAGATGTTCTGTTGCAAAAATGATGAGGACAAAGGTAGATGTATAGCTTTTTACTCGCAGGGTAGTGTACTGAAGGCGCTAAAGAGACTGGAAGATGTTCAGGAGATGTTTGAAAAGCGGCATCTCAGTCTGAAGAGACTGTCAGCTAAACAGACAAGGCCCATCCAGCCTGTTGCTCCACGGCCTGAATCCTCCCCCAAACGGCCCTCAGTGAAGAACACCCCCAGGACTGCAGGAGGCCAACAGCGTAATTTGATCTTTGTGTTTTCAGCTAATTTAAATGAAGATATGTTCTTTTGGTTTTTGTCTTAACTGTAAGCTTTTGCAAGACTCTACAACAGTTAGATTAATCTGAAGTAATGCAAAGACTACAAACAAGAAAACACACAAACTTTGAAGAAAGAAAGGATCAAAGTTACCAGCGTGCTGTCATCTTGTTTCAGCTCTTGCTCGCAGAGCTTCCGATAATTCTAACAAACAGCAGGCTGAAGCTGATCTCAACAAGAAGAAGAACATAAGGAAGGCAAAGGGAGGAATCAAGGTAATGTCCTTAGGCTACACTTTTAAATCTCACTGAAACAGTAAAACACATTTAAAGTCCTGTTCATCTGTCTTTGACCTCATTTCCATTGAATTACATTTCATTTCACTCTGAAATGTGGTGGTAACAACAAACACAACAAAACTGATGGACCCAAACTATTTTTATTGGCTAAGAAAGGCTCTACTTTCAGAAACTTACCAGTTATTCATGGATGCACATAGGAAGCACAGTTGTTCAGTAGTCGGTACTGCTGCCTCACAGAGGCCCCTGGATTGTCTATATTAACACCTTTATTTCATAGTTTTTTTATTTATTTTTATGACTTTTAGTATTTTGAGTGAAAGAAAACATGAGATATGTGAATGGATCTACTTCATCATCTTCTTTATTCCCACCAGTAGAGGGCAGAGGGGTTGACTGGTCACACATTTTAATACTCAGTCCAAAAGTGTATGCCAATTTGGTGGTTGACTGTGCACTCGTATAATTTATTTTGTGACTCAAGCTTCCTGGAGGCCTGATGCCAAAAGAGCACAAACTCTTCTGGTCATGTTACATGTCACACAGTCAGTTTAATGAAGTCGTGGAGTTTTCAGCATACTTGGTCAAACACTCATCCCTCTTTGAAACCGTTTTTTTTTTTCAGAAGAAAAAAAAAACAATAATGCTGGTAGATATTCTTCTGAAAAATTTAAATCAATCATACGCCAGACACGAATGCTGTTTTTGTATAATGTTGGCAGATATCTGATCCTTCCTATAGCAAAGATATTTTACTGTTAAAAGGAGTTTTCCTCGACACTGATGCTCATAAGGGTATGTAAGCTCAGTGAGATTTTCTCTCTGATATTGGAAGGTATTTGGAGATTTTTTCTTGTAAAACACAGTGCTATAAAAACAAAAGAACTGATTCATTTAAAGCCACTTGTGCATATATTTGTGTGTTACAGATTGAGGTCATGCATGAAGAAAGCCAAGGAGGCTCCACACATGTTGTTGTGACAAATGAGACTGAGGAAAGTCTATCCAACAGACGCAGGTAAGGGGGGATAATGTCGTATTCCTGCGATTATAACAAAAGCACATCTTTTACAGCTGCAGTTTATTTTATGGCATAATTTTATGCAGTGTACTATACTCTTCCCAAGGATAGTGCAAGTATTTCTGACATGGTAGAAAAACAGTTAACGCCCAGATAAGTCCTCATAATACTTAACAAACAATATATATCCACATATCCTTTCAATCTTTAAAAATGTCATTTCTCAATCCAATATGTGTCTTGACCTCTTGAAACATTGATTTACTTGTAAACAAACTAGTGGTACTAACCCTAACTGATGTGACCATAATTGTTCCTATGTGGTTAACTAATATGTACCTTAAACTTTCCTTCTTCAGGCAATAGATAAGTAAACTTAAACTTTGATACAGCAAGACAAACACATGTCAAATAAGAAAGAGCAGGTAATGGGATGTAAAAGGTCCACAATGAAGTTTTGTTGGTGTTGGATTTTATTTAATTTCTTACCACCTCACTTATGCTAGCCTTATGAGTAGATACATTATCTAGGTTCAAGTAAAATAATAAGTAGATCCTATGTGAAACTGATTCTGAACTATTGTTTTTTTTTTTTATTTAAGCAAAAATTCTATTAACAAAATTGATACATTCAAAGAAATGTCACACAAAAATTACAACAGCATTCAATTTCAGAATTTAAAAAAAGATCAAACAGTACTATAGAAAAGAATGCAGTCTCTCCTTTTATCACACTATGAAATCCATAAAATTATAATGAGATTTTTCGGCTGGGATTAGAACCATCAATGTGTAATTTCAACCAGAAATAACTTAAACTAAAACACCCTTTGTTGCCCAAAATTAATGTGAAAGGTTTGGCATTGAGTGCACAGGTAAAGGCTAGGCATTTTGGAATAATGTACTTGGCACAGACAAGTCAGTTTGGGGTCAGTATATCAGAGACAGGTTTACTGCAGACTTTTTCAATCTCACTCCTGAGGTGTCAAATACTCCTGCTCGGAGTGGACACTTAGACGTCACATTACTTACATACCATCTTAGCTTCATTTTTCAGTGTGCATGTAATCAAATAGACTTACTCCACATACAAAAAAGGCATTGTGAGATTGTGGTTAAATGTTTTGCTTTGGTAACCCTGTGATAGATTAGGGTAATGACAGCTGGAATAAATAAAGCAACTATAAATTGTATAAGAGCTTAAAAAATGGTTGGATCGATGATTTGCTTAGGTGTTGCTCAACTATCTAAAGGTGTCTGAACAGTTTTCAGACACCGTAAAACTATGCAATCTGCAGATTTCGAGATATTGTGAAACCTGCAGATTGAACCAGAAGTAAGTATTTCAACAGGTGAATCGTTGTAATCACACTTGTAAATCCAAAACAAAATCAGAAAGAAAATGAGGTAATTGCTATTCAAAAGTCAAAGCCTTGCTCATAAATCTGTCCAACTACATTATGGGTTGGTTATTTGTTTTGGCTTCTGACAGTTACACATGAAAAGCTTCATGGGTCTAGCTGACTAACCTAAACAGAGTGATCAATAAATTAAACTAACTTAATCTTTAGACATTACAGTTTCACTGGAGCTTATTTATAGAATACACAGTTTAACAATATACAGGAAGTCAGGTGAGTGCAATGAAGTTATTAAGAGTGAAAGAAGGAATGCAGTTAAGAAGGCAAAAATATAAATTAGCAGAAGTCCTGACGTGGCTACACTGAAAATGCAGGCTACAGCAGAATTACACAAGTTCGTCATAATTTAGCACAATCTGGCAGGCCCTAATGTGTGACACACTTGATTGGCTCTATGACAGTTAATTATTATACATATGCATCAAAGTAATAATCACAGCATCACAAAAAACAGTGTTTTCCAACAAAAATCAAGTTGGTCCAGTTATCCTCTCACTTGGCAGCTGCATCGTTAATATGTCTGGGTTTAAATTTCAGAGTTATCCTGATACCCTTGTCTTATCTATAAATAATTAAAAGGCAAAACTATCAATTGCCCCAACACAGAAGAATAATCCAAGGCTACTTAAGTCAACAATTTTGATGTTTGCTACCACTAATTTATGGAGAAGACAAAGGGAAAAGTTATTTCGTTGATAAGTGCTTTAGTAAACTACTGCGGAAAGTAACATAAAAAAAATTAAGGGAACGCAAAGGGAAGCTGCACATCAGTGAAGCCTGATGCATCTGGACATGAATTTTGAATGAATTTAATTTCTTAATAGATCTTCATTTCATTACAAGACAGCACACAACGGCAAAGGTGAAATGTGTCAGACTAGTGCTGTTAGGTAACATTGTTTATAACAGTGTTTGAGACCCACAATGAGTATTCATGTAAAAGCAGCACTACAGGAGTAAGTGTTCTGATAATGTGGCAGACATAGTAGCATCACTCTCACTGCTGTGCAATAAAGGTTACCTAGTATTCCCCTGGTGCTGCTGTTCTCTCTAGATTCTGTTGCTGACCGCCACAGTGAGCGCATGTCAGAGATATGATCGTGTGATGTGATCATGTGGTCATAAATGCAGGGGTGGTAAGGAGCCTTGCCCTCCCCTGAAAAGTAAACATGCTCCTGGGGAGAGACCCCCATGGTCTTGGCACAGATTCCCATAAAGACATCGTCAATGTACATAGAGGAGTTCAGCAGCAGAGTCGCCTGGTAAATTTTAGCAGCTACATCCCCTGAAACCACATACCCTGCTCCAGCAGTGTAGTCTGGGTAGGATGGCCAGGGATACAGATCATAGGGAATGTGGTATTTACTGTATTTATAGCGAACTGGAGGTGATCCCCTGTGGACATGCCCCACCCATAGGTCTTTAGCTCCTGATTGACTCCTGAGAATATCCTGTAAATACTTTACCAAATTACGCATATGGACAAAGATGTCATCATCCGCAGACATGACGAAGCGTGCCTGAGGGCAATATATGTGCCTCCAGTGGAACTGCTGGATCAGTTTGGTAGTCAGGTTATAAAATGTGTCTACAAAGTTCTGCTGGATCAGATCTCCATAGACCTTGTCCTCCTTCAGCAGTACAGTCTGGACCTTATATCTCTGTTCGACATATGGATGAATGCCAATGGCGAACACCAACCTCATATTCACCCCCAGTTCTGCCCAAACAAAGCTCTCGTTTCCCCATGTGTCCCTGATGGCTCGGCGCCGCTCAAAGTTCTCTGGTGATGATTTTACAAATAACAGCAGAAAAACATCATTTAAACTCTTCCCATTTTCCCCTTTGCATTTCTCTGGGTGGTTGATGAGGTATGAATAGTTCACAAATCCACCAAATACCCTGTTAGAACCACCCTTTCTGTAATGATGATTGGAGTTGATAGCAAAAGAAGAATTGAGAAAATCATAGCTGTTGAACAAGTACCGGTGGGTGAAGGATCTCACGTGGCTGACTGCATGATGGTCCAGCTCTTCCCAGTAAACCATCACCATACAAAGCAGAAGACCTGTGGTCAGCAGTTGCAAACACTGGCACTTGTGGATTCGACGGAAGTTCACAAACATCTTGATTACTGCTTATTTCAGCTGAACACAAACAATATATGCCCCATCTAATAATATTCTCTTCAGCCTCTTTCCTTTCTTTCTTTCACTTGTCCTTCAAACTGGTTCCTTTTCCTCATGATGAAGTCCAGTGTGGTTGCTCTATTACTGATCTTTCTCTCCTGTGTAAAAAAAAAGTTCTGCTTCCTTGGTTGCAAGCTGTAACTAACTGGTGTTGGTTCAAGCTGTGTCAACCATCACTTCCAAAAAGTCTAACATGCTACTTCTCTTTTGACTATTTAAAGTTTCCAGTTAGTTCAACTTCCATCCCACGACTTTAATGTCTGAATGTCCTCAGGCCACATGACACCTGAAAAAAAAAAGAGAAAAACAAGACTAAGATAAAACTTTATATGTGCATATATTCTGTTCCATAGTATAATTATGCAGAGTATCCTTGCAGTTCCTTGGCAGTTCAATAGTCAAAATCAGTTTAATTGTAAAGTTGTCTTCAATATTGTTTTTTTGCATAAAATATACCACAGTTCCCAATAAAAGACAATGTAAAAATGTGCACCTATGGAAGATCTGCCACTCAGGGTATGTTCGGACTTTATGAAAAACTGAAAACAACATTTTTGAAGTATTGTGCATAAACAATATTATTGAATGGACACGGGTAAAAACGCAGCTCTAACAAATTGTAAAGTATCATGAGCTGTAGTGCACGCAGCCGCTCCACCTGCTTGAAAACTTGCAGCCTAACCGGATCAGTCAGCTGGCAGTTAGGAACTTCCTTAGTTGTGCGTCTGTAGTTAAACATAGTTAAAATGTTAAAATGGTTAGGCGTCAACACCACGTGGATTTTGCACACGTTCTTTTACAGCTGCTCATTATTGTTTTCTATATTTATTTTGGATATGTTTGCGACGAGGGCGTGAGCGTATGGTTTTTACACATGTGGAAGCATTCAGATTTCACGACGTGGTTTTGCGCTGATATCATTAAACTTTCCTTGAAGTAAGTTTTGTATCAAAAGGTGTTCCGATGCAGTTTATTTGGGGTCCTGAAGTTGTTTTTTCTGTAGTATTACAGTGTTAGCACCTGGATAGGCATGTTTCTTATCACAATGTTACTACAGAAAATCCGCTGTGATTGTGATTGAATGCTCGTTTTTAATCCAGTGATAGTGACGACATTTAGTGCTGTGGTTGGTGTATTGTGTATTTAGAATCTATAGTAAAGAATTTATAGTAAATGTCCACACCTTACATAATGTGTAAGGTGTGGATATATATATATATATATATATGGACATTTACTATAAATTATAAAATACAGACAGAGGGAACACAGGCAGGCTAAAACAAAACCCTAACACATAGCAAACCTAAACAAAAGACATAACAGAATAAACAAGAACATAGAATAATATAAAGAAACACAAAACACTGAGTCGTCAGACTCAGGACCATGACAGTATCTGGTACAACTAGTTTCTTGGACCCTCTTCCTTCAGTTGTTGGACCATTAGCCAGCATGTAAGGCATGTGAAGTTATAACATACAATGAGAAACAAAGTGAAACATAGTGTTAAAAACTATGAAGTGTGTACTACAGTCACTATCTGCGGTTTTAACATTGTATTTTGTAATCTTTTATCTCTTTTTTCAAGGTGGGCTATAGCCCACTTGTCAACCAATTAGGATACCAATCAGACGGATATATCAGCCACGTCCACAATTGCATTTGGGATGTTGGACTGCATGGGAGTACGTCCGCAGTGGTTGATGCTTTCATAGCGATTGTAGCCATTCTCCAAACCGTTTTGAATAACGCTCATGGATATCAATCATGTCAATTTGCATGATAATGACAGAAACTGACCTCACCGCTCATTGTTAGGCAATGGAAATTATTTCAATCATTATACAAACATACTTTTTATAACTGTAAACTGGCCAAGACTCAGGAAGTCACTTGGTTGAGTGACGAAATGTTTCTCCCACAGAAAACACTATGAACTAGTTGAACCACGTCAACTTTCCAGGATTTCCTTATCTTGATGATTGAGCATGAGATATTATGGCTTCAGTTTCATTCCTCTTGATATGACTAATACCTTTCATTACTATTGGCTGTAACTGTTCCTAAGCATTTAACATTATCATGTAAATTGTAATGTGTTTTCAGTTGGCTACACACTCACGTCTCTTCAAAATTTCAAATGGCATTTCTATACTCTAGCATGAAACCTTCTAGCACACTCGGCATTTATACATCCTTATGTGACAACAAGCTCCCAGTTCCATTTGAGTCGTGACTCTGCATTTAAAAGGCCAATATTTAGGTGACAGTTGCTAATTGATTAGAATTTACTTACATGACTTGTGTAAAGATAATTTCTTGGCAAATGAAATAAAAACAGTAGAAATGGCACTTAACAATTTTTTTTCTTAATTCAACTTGGTTAAAGTTGTTCACTCAGACACAAAGTGCTTTTTGCCAACTGATTTGACTGAGTTGATTGGACTTGATTGTGCTAATAGTATTTCAGTAATACCTGGAATTTTTTAAAAAAATGTAACAACTGTGCAGTTCTAAAAAAAAAGGATGTTTATCATTGCACAAGCTCAGGAATTACTATCTAAGACCGTCACATCAGTAGCTTCATGAAGTGCCCTAGTTGTAGCATAACAACTACTGTACAACTCAGTAAAATAAACTACAGTGTTAAATAGATAAAGTAAGCTGGTGTTTGAGTGAGTCTTATCACAAATTAACTGAGCACAACTGACTGGTTTATTAATGACCTCAATTGCACATGGCTGCTCATAAAGCAACCATAAACGGCATCCTTCCCCTTGCTCTCGCTCTCATTTCCATTGAAGTCTTTCATTCTTATGTGATTTCTATTATTGCTGGTCAAAATTTCAGAGGTCGTGAAGGGTCAGAGATATTTTTCACTATATTTTATCTGGCATTGTACAATCAGATTTTCCCATGTAAATACACAAGAATTGTCAGTGTATATAATAAATCGCTTGTTAACAACACTGGCTAACTGATTCACTCTGCAAACAACACACTGAATGTAATTGCCGAACCAGCACAAAGACCTATAATAGAGGGGGTTTAGTCCAACACAGCCCCTCAGCAGTGAAGCTGCTGACGTCTGTGAATGTTGCTACATAACAGTGTAAACACATATTTTCGCTGCAGCATATTTTTACCTTATTCAGTCAGGATGAGAAAACTGAAGCGCTGACATCCTATGGTCTTGTGATAACAATGTACCATGATATTATCTAATACCTTTGTACATGAGGGCTCATCAAGCAGTAATTTGTGCATTTTCATATATTTAAATGGTGCTACAGGAAATAATTAGACATTCAAAACGTTAACTTGGAAGAAATCTTCAAATAAGGGATAAACCTGAATACATAAAATGAAACCATGTCTGTAGAATGACCCTCAAATTTGGAAAAGGTCAGATAATATTAATGGCTAACTGAAGTCCTTGAGCTTTGAAATGTTCAAAAAAATAGTTCAACAGGCAAACTTTTGTTAACAGATAATCTTATCTAAAAAAAAAAAACCCAGTTTGGGGCCTATGTTGGATCGTATTTCCATTGCTAGCATATCTTTCATGTTCATTTTCCAGAAGAAAAGGGCTAGGGATTTTAATCATAATAGCTATAATACTAATTCAAGTCTCCCTCAGCTTCTGTTCTGAAAGTTATTACATACTTATAGATGCCATAATTCTAGATATCAGTAGATATTAATGCTCTGGTGTTGCTGTTTGAAACCAAGTCATTGAGAGGGTTTTCTCCCATTACCTTTTTTGTGCTGGGAAATGCAACTTTTTCAACCTGCTAGAATTACAGGAACAAGAACTGGAGTCTTTACTGCACAAATTTTTAATAATGACTCAGTATCTTTGTATATACTGATGGTCACATCTTTAACTTTTTTCAAAAGTCAAACGTCAGTGTGTTCTGTGAAAATGTCTGTAGACTACTGCTCATAAATGTGTTTGACTATTTCTCACAAACACTGCTGGCCTTGTAAATGAGGCGTTTTGAATTTAAGCAAATGATGTATAGCAATAGAGGGTTGGTGTACAGACTCCAGATTACATCTGTAATCTGAGCACACAGTGGTACATATATTCAGTTTTACAGATAAATGAAGGTGTGCTTGTTTTTGAAGGTGCACAAGGACAAACAACATAAAGCAAAAGGCTGGCCTTGTTTTTTTATGTTTATCAGCAATGTGAGGGCCGCATCAAACTTATATGATCCAGGGGATGTGTTATATTGTAGACCATGTCCATTTTTTTCCATATGCACTCAAAACTTGTTAATTCAACCTAGCTTAATAGTCAGTTCAGTGCTGTGCTTTTGTTAGATTTTGTCAGATTTCCATTTCCCATATTTTCTTATTTAAAAGGCAAACATTTGAAGCTTTTTGAACTGAGGTCCGTCATTAAAGGTGATGTGAATGACACCTAAAATTGAAATTTGGTGTTTAATTTCAGAATTAAATAAGTACCGTAATTGTCGGGCTATAAGCTGCTACTTTTTGCACAAGCTTTGAACCCTGCGGCTTTTAGTCAGGTGCGGCTTTTCTATGGATTGTCCATGATTTTTGTCATATCGTAAGAGGATTTGTTTTGTTTGTTCCGCTGTTGTACGGCACTACGTTGCCTGGCAGAAGGGCATGTGATCAGACACACAGTATCGGGGTTCAAGAGTGGTATGTTGGTCACAACATACCACTCTTGGCCGTACGAAATAGCGCGAAAAACAAACTTCAAAGTAGCGCTACGCGTTCAGCAGGAGGCGTGGATGATGAGCAGCGATAAACTTGCGAAAAGCAAGTTATGCTCAACTCCACCAGTGGAATCTGACAGCGTGGAAAAGTGTGAAAACATCCATGATCACCAACAGATTTCGAAGGGCTGGACTGCTGCATGATGGAGAGGAGGACACCGCCACGGCCCTTCTGAGGGT